TGATCGACCAGTGGAACCCTTCGGATACGGCCAGGTTAGAATCCGTATCTGTTAAATTTGTAAGTATCTGTACTCTTTGAGAACCGTGGCGACCCCCTCTAGTATGCACAAAACTGACTGGGTTATGTACATCAGTGAGTAGTTTTCATGAGTTATCTATGAACCTTCATCGTTTCGCACCTTCAGAACGCCCATCTTTTTTCTTTAATAAGTTATCTGTTTCACATATCATGTAACTTTAGGTACAGTTTACTTGGTTATATCGAAGATCTAAAGATTACATGCAAGGGAGGTAAGTTTGAACTACTTACCTGCACTTTCACCTGTTTGACCCGTTATTGCTCCAAATAAATTTAATATTGTCAAACAAAGACACGTCAATGCAGTTCTGTCTAGAGTTAGCAACATTATTCTTTTATATTTGGGCTGTCACTCACTACTGTCTCCGATATGCGCATTTCTGTGTCCCAGCTATCACACCCCAGTTATACGTTTTGACGGGGAGAGCGCAAGATGCTCCAATTCCAAAGTAGGCTACTTCGATACAAGTACTCGAGCCGGGCTTAGCCCGTGAGCGATGGCGAAAAAAATATAGTCAGTTGAATAGGTTTGTCTCCGATTATAATACGGCAACTTTCAAGGATATCAGATAGGCCTTTTAGATTAGCTATGAGCCCCTAACCCTCCGATCGCTGATAGATAGGGAGCGGGATTCAGTGAAGGTCTGCTGTGGCCCATACAAACCTCTGTAAAATATGCAGATAGCAGTAATACCGTTCAATATGACTGATCACGTAACTTTAATGTTTAAACCGTCCAGATGGTCACGCACTCAAGTCGCATTCTGAGTCAAGAATCGTGTTGTGATGCCGTAGTTGATCAGAGGGCTGACTGTGCCGTTTGCGGAAAGTTTTATATTCTGACCTTTCTTGTGGGCAGTCGGTTTTTTGCACTCCCTGGATCTAGAGACTACCTTGATCACCCGCTGCGACCTATTGTGTTTATTTTTGGACGCGTTCATTCCGCCGCTGGTGGTCTTGAGTACCGTCCATCAAATCACTCGGGAGAATACACCTGCTGTATTAAGTGTTTGTCATCTCTTGCATAGAGACGACTAGTTTGTTATGTAGTTTCGGGTATTGGTTTGTTTTCTGGGGATTTGTTATCCCTAGGAAAGCATATATCGCATGCGGCTTCTTAGTTTGTGTTCTTGTACCACTCAGCAAGCAGTTGTTGTACTCCCCGCGTGGTTTGTCACTGGTTGTGGCAGCAATTTAGTCGTTGTGCGCATTTTTAAGCCTGTGTAAAAACTTTTACGGGTGGCCTCCTTTTTGACCTGAATATTGGCAAGTTTTGCTATTTTAATGTCAACAGTTGTCATGTTGAGTGGTTTTCTGATAATTACTAAGCCGGACTTATTTGATGTCATTAAAATCTACCTCGTCTGAGTGTCTGTTTATACTAGTTCTTCAAAGACTAAGACAGGAATAAAAACCCCTTAGCAGTGCAGGTGGATTTGTGCTAAATTTCAGGAAGGGTACACCTTCCCCTGTTTTAACCATAACATTGACCCAAGTCCTAATCCAAATCTCCATGAAATTTATCCCAAGGCCGCATGTATTACGGAAGGGGAATTACTATTTCTATGTCTTACCTCCTGAGGTATTCTAATGAACTGATCATTCCCACTCTTTTAATAAGGCCCGTTTATATACCACACTTGCTCTTAGTTTGACTCTACTCGGTTTTGAAACCCGCATATATTTCTTCCTTAGCGCAACGTGCCAGTCCCTGTGGGGCCAGCATTCCCTGACTTCGGACGCAGTGACTTGGATCCCTTTGGTGGTCTGGGTCCAGGCAGTGATCTTCGTCCCGGTGGTATGGGTGGCATGCTGCTGGATCCTAACAGAAATATGCCTGGTATGCCTTTACATCGGTTCGTGGATCCTCAATTGCCACCGG